AACAAAATTTGGCGAATGATGGTACACAGTGGGTGAATTGTAGTGGGACACAAGCCTTCAAACTTCACGACAGGCATTTTTGGAATAATTATCTACAGGATTAAAAGTTTCTTCCGGTAAAGGACGATGCGACGCCTAATAATATTACATATTGGAAGTGATAATGGTTTTCTTGAAAACGATTCTTTAATATTTCAATTATAAAAAATATTACACTACCATGAAGATATGTAAACGGTTATGTTTTTGAAGTATACTTTCAGCAGATGATAGAATTTTACCAAAAGTCTCAGTTGTAGTAATTAATAATGCTAGTTATCATTCCCGTCAAACTGAATGGCTGTCAAGTACTTCTTGGAAGAAATATAATATATGTGGTGAGCAGACAAAAACATTAGTTTTCTAGAAAAATCTTTAAAAATTTAATTGTTACAATTTGTAAAATTAATAAGCTTCTACTATCTTATGCAGCGCATGAACTCGCAAAAACACATGCTATTCTCTTCCCTACTTAAACCCTATTGAATTGATAAGGGCACGAGTTAAAAAATATATACCTCGATATGATATAACCTTTACATTAAAATATGTAGAAGCCTTGTTAGAAAGTTCGGTATTACATGCGATCAAGGAAAATTGGCAAAAGGCGATTGAACATAAATATGTTAAAATAATAAGAAACTATGTGGAATTTCGTCCAAATCTTGGATGAACATAATACACTGTCACCGATAGTAATATCAGTAAAAAAAGACTCATCAAGTAGAGAGAGTGATTTAGAGATTTAAAGATCTTCCTACACTGAATAAATCCACTGAATTGTAAAAGTAGAGCTAAAATCATCATATGGGTTAGACTTTCAATCTGCGTTATATGTCTGAATTGTTTCATTGTATTATGTTTATATATTTATATATTTATGATGATATTGATGATATTTCTTATATTTATGATATTTCTTAAAAGTGATAAAAATAATTTATATCCGTAAAATATTTGTAAATTATTTCATTTTTATATTTTCACCAGTTTGTTATATACTGACCGGCACAAAAAGTGGCCACCCTATAAATTTCCGAAAATAAAAATTCAATAGAAATTTTATGCACTGTTTCATATTGCATTCTCGACATCTTTTATTTTTAAAACAAAAATGGCCATTACTATTTGATTTGTTAGCATAATTTATTTAATTAGAAGGCTACAAAAGAAAATAGTGTGATACAGAAACGAATTACAAAACAAAACTTAAACAAAATTGTCTAGTACCGGGTATTATGCCCTAAAACATCAATAGCCGATTTGCATACGATTTGAAAGGAAGAGGAAAAAATGTTGAACAAAAACTTAAGGAATACGTTCATATTCTTCACGAAGCATGTTTTGAAGTTCTGCAAGACTTTCTGGCTAGCCTGGATGACTTATGATGACTACGATGAAGTTCATCTCAAAGATGTTCAATGATATTCAGATCGTGGCCGCAGGCTGGCCGTTCTAGATCTTAATTCTAACTTTCCTCAAGTAATATGTCAGGATTCTTGCAGTATACGGCCGTGCATTATTATGCATAAAGACGAAATTGTCCTCAATAAAAGAACCAAATGATACCACAACCGTCAAACTTTTTCTCTGGGACATACAAGCTTGGGCATATCTTTCATTTTTCCGCCTCCAAACCCTTTCTGGGCTATGGCTAGACTTCTAACAGAATCACGATTTATCAGTAAAGAGAATTCGGCCCCAATCTTATATATCCCAGTGTTGATGTTGCCGAGAAAAAATTAATTGATTCCTACAGTGTCTGGGTTGTAATTCGGGAACAATAGCCTGCCTTCTTGTCACTAGCCCTATTTTATTCAGGCGTCTTCTAACCGTTTTCTCACTTACATTCCCATTTTGAACCTCCTGCAGACGGTTTCTTCAGCAATTGCAGTTGAATGGCGATATCTTAAGGGTTCCATCACATTAAAATGCTCATCTCTTTGTGAGGTAGCTCTTCTACGACCGGAACCATAAACGTCGAAACTGTCAAAAATAAGCATACAAGATCGCCGAAAATATTGAATTTAAGATGCAATATAAAACAGTGCATAAAACTTTCAATGAAGTTTTATTTTCGGAAATTTAAGTTTAAGTTTAAGAATAAAACTCAAATAAACTCGTATTTTTACAATTAAAACCCAGTTTTTATATTTTAATAAGTAAGTTTTACTAAAATGTTTATAATTTTAAGTTCTCTAACCGCTTTTACGGAACAAATGATTATAAGGTATATTTTCAACCAATATGTTATAAAACTTCAGCTATTTTCATTTTTTTACATTGTAGCCAACAAAAATTTTTTCGCATACAAAATATAAAATGAATGTGTAATAAATAAATTTGTCTTCAGATTATCAAGGTCTATTGTTATATTTTCTCAATACAGTTGGGATTTGGGAAGTTTTAAATTCACTTTTTAGTGTCATATTCTACTAAAATGTATATTTTGTTTGAGACGCATGTGCTGTATGTAGATTTCCTTAAAATGTTGATTTATTACTCCGTTTCGATTGCGAAAAGATTACAAATGTTACAACAGAATGTAAACATACGGGTCAGATTGAAAATTTTTCACCTTATTCTTAGTAGTGTTCGTAGTGATTAATTTATAATGCAATAAAAAATTATTTTTTATTTATACTTAAATTGTTCTGACAAAATTGAAATGAAATTAAATATACTCCTATCACATTCGCAGACGAAAAGTTGACAGAAAAGCATAAATACTTTTAACTGAAAGTGCCATTTTTAAAAAACATTTAATGCACAAGTAGTAAGATGGTACATACGAGTAGTTTCAAATCTTAAATAAATCAGATTTAAATTGTTGGTTAGAAAATTTCAAATTTAGAGGCAAATTAGTACAAAATGGACATTACAAACATCTAAGGGCATTAAATTATGCTTTATTAATTAAATCAAATTATGTAACAACTTTCAAGTCAAATTTCTCCCAATCAGTTCAGGTTCACAAATGCTTTTGGTACTGGAGAGGCTTTGTTCTCAGTAAAAGTCTAATTCCAGAGATGCAGAGACGTCAACTGCGACGTATACGCATGTCTGGTTGATTACGAGAAATCATTTGATCGAGTACAGCACGCCAAGATGATGCAAATACTAAAAGAAGCAGGAATTATCAGACAGCAAATCTCAGGGTTGAAGGTGAACACAGACTATGCGAAAATAATGCGTGGAGTGAGGCAAGGCTGTATTTTGTCTCCTCTAATCTTCAATCTGTATTCTGAAAGTTCTACTAAATGGTTACCGGCTTAACAATATCAGATATGCAGATGACACCATAGTGTTTGCAGACGACTTAGAAGATTTACAAGTTCTTATAAACAAAATCTGCTATAGACGAATATATGCTATATCGTGCTATAGACGAATCCTAAAGATATGGCGGGTTTCGCACACTTCCAATGAAGATGTTCTTCAAATGATCAATTCAGAACATCTGCTCATAAACACCATAAAGAGGAGAAAAACAGAATACTTCGGCCATATAATTAGAGGACCTAAATACCATTTACTTCGCCTTATAATACAAGGAAAAGTGGAAGGAAAGAGATGGATTGGTCGAAAGAAACTTTCATGGCTGCGTAATATTAGACAATGGTGTGGTTTTACAGTAGAAAAATTATTTCGCGCACCAGCCGACAGAAAGGTTTCAGGAAATTGTAAACATGATGACGGCCAACGTCTGAATACGGACACGGCACCCAAAGAAAAAGAAGATAAACAAAATCACGTATTACAGTCAACAATATGCACTTAATGTAAACGTTAAGAATATAAAGCTTACGAAAATTAGCAAGAAAAGGATAGTAGAAGATCAACTCTACGTAAACCAATCTCCTGTAGAAAGAGTGACGCACTACAACTACGTCGGCACCATAATAAATGAAGATTGGACCAACAACCAGGAGATTAGAGCACGCATCGCAAAAGCTAGATCCACCTTCAATCGGATGGGGGCCTTCTTCAAGAGTCACAACCTCTTTCTTGATACAAAAGTAAGAATGCTGCGTCTTCTCTGTCCTTTTATATGGTGTTGAATCGTGAACCTTGAATGAAGATATGTGAAAACAACTGGAAGCATTTAAGATGTGGCTATATCGGAGAATACTTAAGATCCCATGGACTGACCTAGTTACAAATGAGGAGGTCCTTAGAAGAATGAATAAGAACCAAGAGGTACTGACCACCATTAAATCTCGAAAGTTACAATTCTTCAAACATATTATGCGAAATGAATCCAGATATGCTCTCCTTCAAGCCATCCTTCAAGGAAAAATATTTGGAGAGCGAGGTCCATGAAGAAGAAGAAGATCTTGGTTGAAGAACCTCAGAATCTGGTTCAAGACAACATCTGTGCAGCTTTTCCGCGCTGCTGCAAATAAGATAAAGATTGCCATTATGATCGCCAACATTCTTAACGGATAGGAACATCAAGAAGAAGAAGAATGTAACAACTAAGAATATATGTAAGACTGAAATTTAATATTCTTATGTATAAGAAAAAAGCAGTAGGTACTATGGGAAAATAAAATAATATCTATTATTTATAATCTAAACGTCATCGCCAACGTAATTCCTTATCATATATATATATATATATATATATATATATATATATATATATATATATATATATATATATATATATATATATATATATATATATATATATAATATATGATGAGGACCTAAACATTGATTCGAAAATATAGTATTTATTTAACGTTTTGTTTTGATTTTAGGTAAAATTAATAAAAAAAAAACATTTCAAAATGAAAATTTTATATTTGTATCTGATTTTTGATTTATTTGTTAAAATAAAAAGTCAATTTAAAACAGTTCACATTTAAGTCAACCAAGTTTGCTTTTTATGCAATAAACGTCACGAATAAAGTTATACACAGAAAAAAAAATAAGAAAAACAATTTGATATTTACCGCTCACTGAAGCCAATAATTGTGTTAATGTTCCAGAAAAAATACTGCCCTCAGTTTTCTTTGCCATAACAAGAAATTTTGTCTAGCTGCGACATTAATAAAGGATTGATTAAAACTAATTTGGAAACCCACTTGAACTTGATTGTGGCGCACGCATTTATATTTAAACAATAAGAAGCTACCGATACGAATAAAAACTACAAAACAATAATTCGACGGTACAAAATGTTGAACTGAACTGCTTGAATATTTTTAAGTCTACTTTTTGTTGATAAATTCGCTTAATTGGCGTTTGTGCTTACGCGTTTAATTGCTGACGAGTAAACAATAAACTACGTGTGGTTGAAATACTAGTTTAATCTAATCGGTTTAATTATACTTTTTGCTTTCTAGCATACATTTTCATTTAGTCACCAAGTAAAGTATTTCTATTATTATTAAGTACCTATTTATAGTCGTTATAATAATTATGATATAGTATATTATCTTTTCGGAAGCTTATTTCTGATAAGAACCTATCAGGATTTAAAAAAATTAATTATTTAAAAATGCTTCCAATCATACCATATTACATTGTATAAAATTGATTTTTATTCATTAACCATTGATAGATTAACAATGAACTATTACAAAACATGCCCATTACGATAACATAACAAATTTTTTACTTTTTGTACTAAAAAGTTGGTAACAATTTTGCAATATTTGCTATTTGTCATTTCTAACCACTCGTCGAATTTGATAATTCTGATTTTTTTATTTATATCCCTTTTCTTTTCTATCTCTACTTAAAGTTTAATTTTATTTTGCCTAAAGGCTTCGTTCTCTTCTTTCATTTTCTGCAGTGCTTATGTGTTTATATTTTTTAATTTGCTAAACGTTTTCCATGTTTCATTGTATTGGCTTTGTGAGAAGATGGTTGTTACGTTAACTGTTGTTTATACTATGATGAAGTGATATATATATATATATATATATATATATATATATATATATATATATATATATATATATATATATATATATATATATATATATATATATATATATATATGTATTTCAAGGTTTGACCCATATATTAAATTTATTTCTTTTCCTTCTAAACTCTATTTGAGCCATTCCTTTTGGAGACTATGCATGGGGATTTTAAGTCCAACTATTTTAAGATTGTGCTTCATAAATATATTAAGACCTCCGTATTCTATTTTTGCTGTTCAGTCTAAACATGTTTCTTAGAGTTTTTTCTTTGTAAGCTTTTTGGTATTAGCCGTATCTTATATTCGTAAACTCCTAATGTCGAATAATGGGTTTATAGATGTCAAATCTTAAGTGTTATAGATATCTATTTACTAGTTATATATATATATATATATATATATATATATATATATATATATATATATATATATATATATAGCGAGTGTTTGCAACTTTAATTTTGTCGCTTCTCGCATCCCAATCGCCATAATTTCTTATCGGCCCAGTCTCCTTCTTGAAGACCTCTATTTTCCATTTCTATATGAATATTGGATATCCATTTCTTTCTTGGCCATCCCCTTTTATTTCTCTGTGTAGGTCTCCAGTTCCAAACCTTTCGTGGTATCCTTTCTGCGTTCATCCGTCTCAGGTGTCCATACCATTTTAATTGTTTTTCGGCTATCGTATCCGTTATTGTGTTCTTTACTTTCATTCTCTCTCTTATGTTTACATTTCTTATGTGGTCAAACAAAGTTAACCCGGAACATCTTCTCCAGTACATCATTTCCGTTGAGAGGAGTTTTTGTGACATATTCTTGTTAAAGACCCACACTTCTGACCCATACGTCAGCACCGGCTGAATCATAGCCTGATATATATTTTTCTTTGTTTTCTTAGTTAAAGTTTTATTCCACAGGATCGGATGTAGTGTTTTTATCATGTTTTTTCCTTTTCCTATTTTTCTTGTTACATCTTTGTCGTCTCTCCCTTCTTCGCTTAGTGTAACTCCGAGATATTCGTACTGATCAACGTTTTTAATTAATCCGCTTTCTGTTTCCATGTCTTGACCGATGCCTCCTATATTCATGTATTGTGTCTTTTCGGTATTAACCTCTAATCCCCATTTTTTGAATTCGTCTATTAGTTTGTTTATCATGTACGTCATATCTTGTAGGTCCTCGGCAAGAACTACCTGGTCGTCTGCGAAGAGGATTGTGTATATAGGAGTGTCATTTACCCATATGCCCATTGGGCTGCATTTTCTCATCCAATATTTTAAAGCATTACCAAGATATATTTTAAATAGGGTTGGGGAGAGGCAAGAGCCCTGTTTGACACCCTTTGTTTGGGTGAAACCCTTGGAAATTTGGTTTCCAACCTTAATATAAGCTTGGTTATCTTGATATAGCTTTTTCACGGCATTTGTATATACTGCATTTATACCTGCGTTTTCCAATGTTGTCCATAGTCTCTGCAGTGGTACGGAGTCAAACGCTTTACGGAGATCTATAAAAGTGGCATGAAGTTCTAGTCCTCTTGCTAATCTCTTTTCTATTAGATGTTTGAGAGTAAATACATTGTCGACACAAGATCTCCCTGGTCGGAATCCACTTTGTTCTTCGATCTCTGTGGCTTCTTTTTCTATTCTGGCTTTCAGAACTCTTTCATACAGTTTGCCAGTGGATGACGTAATGCTGATACCTCGGTAATTACTGCAGTCATTCCTGTTTCCCTTTTTGTAGATGGAGTTTATGTACGAGACTTTCCAATCTTTTGGGATACTTTCTCCTTGTAGGCACTTGTTAAACATTTTATAAAGCAATTCTAATGTTATTGCAGTGGCATGTTTGAATAACTCGATAGGTAAATCACCGGGCCCAGGAGCTTTAATATTTTTCATTTTTTGTAATGCGTTTTTTATTTCTTCTACGGTAATCATCGCCACTTCATTTAACCCCGTTTCTACTATATCTATATGTGTGTCTAGAAACTGTGTACGTTGTTCATTTAATAGATTTTCGTAATAATTTTTCCATCTTTCTATGTCTATGGGGTTTATTTTTTTTGTTTCGTTTGTATTTTTTCTAAGACTGTTGATATTTTCCAAGCTTGTCTGGACCTAGATCCTCCTACCATTGAGCTTATTTCTGCACACTGGTTTCCCAGGTTATGTTTTTTGTTTTTTTAATTTCCTTTTTTACTATATATTTGTATCTGTTATAGTTCTTTCGGTCTTCCTCACCTTTTGTCGATAACCATTTGAGATACAGTTTTTTCTTTTCTTCTACCAGTTCTAATAAACCTTCTGTCCACCAATAATTTCTACGTTTTACTTTTTCTTTCGTACCTAGAGCTTCTAATGCTGCTTCATGAATTTTGATTTTCAAAGTCTCATACATTTCTTCCGCTGTTCCGTTTATTTCTTCGTCTAATTTTTGTGCCAAACGTAGTTTATAGAGAAAACTTGTGGACTCATTTTTTAAGCTGTCTATGTTATAGAGCCGTATGGATTCTTTGTTTGTCTGTTCTTGGGATTTATGTTGTTTAATATATCTTATTTCCACGGGTGCCTTTACTAGTAGGTGATCCGATTCACATTCTGCCCCTCTCCAAACTTTTACATCGTAGGGTCTTAAAGATGTCTCTTGTTTAACTACTATATAGTCTATAATTGACTGCAGTTTTCTTGTCTTTTGAGTCCATGTATATTTATTTATGTCTCTATGTTTGTAAAATCCATTCAGTATTTTTAACGAATGTTGTTCGCATACCTCCAACCATCTTGTTCCGTTCTCATTTACTACATCTTCTCCGTGTTGTCCAATTATTTTGTTGTCAAGAGCTTTACCTACTCTTCCGTTCAGGTCCCCTAGTAGGACTATTTCTTGTCTTTTTTTATTTTATTTAACTCTTCTGAGAGTTTGTCGAAGAACATGTCTTTGGTGTTTGTATCTGAGTCGTCCGTGGGTGCATAGATGCCAATTATTTTTATGTCTCTCCCCTTTGTTGTAAGGTCTACTGTTATAATTCTTTCGTCTATCGGGTTCCAGTTGGTAACACATTTTTCCATGTTTTTTCTTATCACGACCGCTACTCCAGCTTTGGCTCTTTTTGATTTTTCTACTCCGCTCCAGAAGTATATATAGTCGTCTTTGTAGTGGTTCCCCTGTCCTTTCTTTTTTGTTTCGCTGAGTACTGCGATGTCAATTCGGTATGTACTGAGTTCCTTAAATACTTGATCTTCTTTTGTATTCAGTCCTTGTATGTTCCAACATCCAAAATTCGTTAGCCTTTTTCTTTGCCTATGTCGTTTTCCTTTGAAGCCATCCGAGTTCCGAGGCTGTTCCTTGGGATTTTTAGCAATATTTCTTTTACGCAGGGCGGGGAGCTAACCTACCGCTGTATTTACTAGTTATATTTCTATTTTTCTTTGTCCTAGAATTTTATACCACGTGTACCTGTAAGTTCTTTCTTTTCCACAAATCAACTCCATTTAACCATTTTTTTATTATTATTTTCATATTTTGCATTATTTAGCTTCTATACAAGTCATTGTTTGTTTTGTTTAATATATCTTCTTAAAATAAAAACATATATCTAAAAATCTAGTGAAGACAAGTTTCCCCTTTTGCAACTGATATGTTCTTAAAAGGGAATTTTTCTTTCTATATATACCATTTAATTATAGGATTGAATATATAGTATAATGACTATTTTATTTTTTTTAAAGGCTTGGGTTTCGGATTTAAGCACGTTACTATTTTTAATTCCCTTAACGGTTGGTATTTCTGTATGACTTGGAATCGCCTAATTACATTGTTAGTAATATATATTTTCAAACTCTGATTAAATCTTTACTATTAAAAAAAATATATAGTCTGGATACATTAAGAGCAGTCGAACAGTAGGACAAAATTCAACAGGCTATTTTATCTGTTACCAGAGAAAATTTAAAACCAAATAAAAAAAAGAGACGTGGATAACATATGAGATATTATAGCCGACATGGAGATGGAAAGATAATACAAAAATAAAGATACGAATAAATATAAAACAATAAATAAAAAAATAAAAAAAGTAAGAGAACGGTGCGAGGATATGAAGGTATATGAAAGGAAATTCGATAGCTTTAAGATACA